GTAACTGTTGTGGTGCTACAGCGGGGGTATAGCTCAGTGGTAGAGCATTTGACTGCAGATCAAGAGGCCCCTGGTTCAAATCCGGGTACCCCCTCATTTAGTCGATGACACGTGGGTACTGATGGTGGACCATCTCTAACCGGCAGTTAAAGGAGAATGAGGATGTTGCATTTCCAGTGTTTCCGTAGCTGCCACTCCAATTCAGCACTATGGAAGTTCATCGGTTGTTTAATTGGCAAATGACTCTGCCCCCTTCTCCGATGCCGAGATGTCCTCCCGCAACCTGCATCAAGATACACAAAATAGTTTTCGTTTCCTGGTGGTGTGTCCATCCCAGTGCTGTTTTGGGCTGACAGTGGCTGTGGTGGTCTGCTCTGGGTCTCTGGGCTAGTTGTTCAGGGCCGCAGAGAACTGATGTCTCCCTCCGCTCCCACCCGCTCTTGCCCCCTCATGTCCCAAACCCCACCAAATAAATGTGGTCTCACTGTAACTGTCCTGGTGCTACAGCGGGGGTATAGCTCAGTGGTAGAGCATTTGACTGCAGATCAAGAGGCCCCCGGTTCAAATCCCGGTGCCCCATCATTTAGTCGATGACACGTGGGTAGTGGTACTGATGGTGGACCATCTCTAACCGGCAGTTAAAGGAAATGGTAATAATTGTTGAAATAGCAATGTTTCGCCATCAATGGAGTCTGGACCTTGTCATGGACTTTCTCAGCTGTGGGTCGTCCACGGAGGTCAGGTGTTGTGCTGCTGTGTGTTTACCCTCCTGTTAAGACAAGATACTATGGTGCTTTTGTAGCCCAAGTAGTCGTGAGGCAGTATCGGAGCGCTATTCTGACTCTCATTTCAGTTCAATTCCAAATAGCTTTATTGACACGGAAATAAACATTCAATTAACTAACAATTAAACAAAAGGGAACAAATGGTGACATCAGAACAGAGATTAGCAATGTAGCCAACATCATGTCCCAAACCCCACCAAATAAATGTGGTCTCACTGTAACTGTTGTGGTGCTACAGCGGGGGTATAGCTCAGTGGTAGAGCATTTGACTGCAGATCAAGAGGCCCCCGGTTCAAATCCGGGTGCCCCCTCGTTTAGTCGATGACATGTGGGTACTGATGGTGGACCATCTCTAACCGGCAGTTAAATGAGGATGTGGCATTTCCAGTGTTTCCGTAGCTGCCACTCCAATTCAGCACTATGGAAGTTCATCGGTTGTTTAATTGGCAAATGACTTTGCCCCCTTCTCCGATGCCGAGATGTCCTCCCGCAACCTGAGTCAAGATAGACAAAATTGTTTTTGTTTCCTGGTGGTGTGTCCCTCCCAGTGCTGTTTTGGGCTGACCGTGGCTGTGGTGGTCTGCTCTGGGTCTCTGGGCTAGTTGTTCAGGGCAGCAGAGAACTGCTGTCTCCCTCTGCTCCCCCCCGCTCTTGCCCCCTCATGTCCCAAACCCCACCAAATAAATGTGGTCTCACTGTAACTGTCCTGGTGCTACAGCGGGGGTATAGCTCAGTGGTAGAGCATTTGACTGCAGATCAAGAGGCCCCCGGTTCAAATCCGGGTGCCCCCTCATTTAGTCGATGACACGTGGGTACTGATGGTGGACCATCTCTAACCGGCAGTTAAAGGAAATGGTAATAATTGTTGGAATAGCAATGTTTCCCATCAATGGAGTCTGGACCTTGTCATGGACTTTCTCAGCTGTGGCTCGTCCACGGAGGTCAGGTGTTGTGCTTCTGTGTGTTTACCCTCCTGTTAAGACAAGATACTATGGTGCTTTTGTAGCCCAAGTAGTCGTGAGGCAGTATCGGAGCGCTATTCTGACTCTCATTTCAGTTCAATTCCAAATAGCTTTATTGACACGGAAATAAACATTCAATTAACTAACAATTAAACAAAAGGGAACAAATGGTGACATCAGAACAGAGATTAGCAATGTAGCCAACATCATGTCCCAAACCCCACCAAATAAATGTGGTCTCACTGTAACTGTTGTGGTGCTACAGCGGGGGTATAGCTCAGTGGTAGAGCATTTGACTGCAGATCAAGAGGCCCCCGGTTCAAATCCGGGTGCCCTCATTTAGTCGATGACACGTGGGTACTGATGATGGACCATCTCTAACCGGCAGTTAAAGGAGAATGAGGATGTTGCATTTCCAGTGTTTCCGTAGCTGCCACTCCAATTCAGCACTATGGAAGTTCATCGGTTGTTTAATTGGCAAATGACTCTGCCCCCTTCTCCGATGCCGAGATGTCCTCCCGCAACCTGCATCAAGATACACAGAATAGTTTTCGTTTCCTGGTGGTGTGTCCATCCCAGTGCTGTTTTGGGCTGACCGTGGCTGTGGTGGTCTGCTCTGGGTCTCTGGGCTAGTTGTTCAGGGCCGCAGAGAACTGATGTCTCCCTCCGCTCCCACCCGCTCTTGCCCACTCATGTCCCAAACCCCACCAAATAAATGTGGTCTCACTGTAACTGTCCTGGTGCTACAGCGGGGGTATAGCTCAGTGGTAGAGCATTTGACTGCAGATCAAGAGGCCCCCGGTTCAAATCCGGGTGCCCCCTCATTTAGTCGATGACACGTGGGTACTGATGGTGGACCATCTCTAACCGGCAGTTAAAGGAAATGGTAATAATTGTTGGAATAGCAATGTTTCCTATCAATGGAGTCTGGACCTTGTCATGGACTTTCTCAGCTGTGGCTCGTCCACGGAGGTCAGGTGTTGTGCTGCGTGTTTACCCTCCTGTTAAGACAAGATACTATGGTGCTTTTGTAGCCCAAGTAGTCGTGAGGCAGTATCGGAGCGCTATTCTGACTCTCATTTCAGTTCAATTCCAAATAGCTTTATTGACACGGAAATAAACATTCAATTAACTAACAATTAAACAAAAGGGAACAAATGGTGACATCAGAACAGAGATTAGCAATGTAGCCAACATCATGTCCCAAACCCCACCAAATAAATGTGGTCTCACTGTAACTGTTGTGGTGCTACAGCGGGGGTATAGCTCAGTGGTAGAGCATTTGACTGCAGATCAAGAGGCCCCCGGTTCAAATCCGGGTGCCCCCTCATTTAGTCGATGACACGTGGGTACTGATGGTGGACCATCTCTAACCGGCAGTTAAAGGAGAATGAGGATGTTGCATTTCCAGTGTTTCCGTAGCTGCCACTCCAATTCAGCACTATGGAAGTTCATCGGTTGTTTAATTGGCAAATGACTTTGCCCCCTTCGCCGATGCCGAGATGTCCTCCCGCAACCTGCGTCAAGTAGACAAAATTGTTTTTGTTTCCTGGTGGTGTGTCCATCCCAGTGCTGTTTTGGGCTGACCGTGGCTGTGGTGGTCTGCTCTGGGTCTCTGGGCTAGTTGTTCAGGGCAGCAGAGAACTGCTGTCTCCCTCCGCTCCCCCCCGCTCTTGCCCCCTCATGTCCCAAACCCCACCAAATAAATGTGGTCTCACTGTAACTGTCCTGGTGCTACAGCGGGGGTATAGCTCAGTGGTAGAGCATTTGACTGCAGATCAAGAGGCCCCCGGTTCAAATCCGGGTGCCCCCTCATTTAGTCGATGACACGTGGGTACTGATGGTGGACCATCTCTAACCGGCAGTTAAAGGAAATGGTAATAATTGTTGGAATAGCAATGTTTCCCATCAATGGAGTCTGGACCTTGTCATGGACTTTCTCAGCTGTGGCTCGTCCACGGAGGTCAGGTGTTGTGCTTCTGTGTGTTTACCCTCCTGTTAAGACAAGATACTATGGTGCTTTTGTAGCCCAAGTAGTCGTGAGGCAGTATCGGAGCGCTATTCTGACTCTCATTTCAGTTCAATTCCAAATAGCTTTATTGACACGGAAATAAACATTCAATTAACTAACAATTAAACAAAAGGGAACAAATGGTGACATCAGAACAGAGATTAGCAATGTAGCCAACATCATGTCCCAAACCCCACCAAATAAATGTGGTCTCACTGTAACTGTTGTGGTGCTACAGCGGGGGTATAGCTCAGTGGTAGAGCATTTGACTGCAGATCAAGAGGCCCCCGGTTCAAATCCGGGTGCCCCCTGGTTTAGTCGATGACATGTGGGTACTGATGATGGACCATCTCTAACCGGCAGTTAAATGAGGATGTGGCATTTCCAGTGTTTCCGTAGCTGCCACTCCAATTCAGCACTATGGAAGTTCATCGGTTGTTTAATTGGCAAATGACTTTGCCCCCTTCTCCGATGCCGAGATGTCCTCCCGCAACCTGAGTCAAGATAGACAAAATTGTTTTTGTTTCCTGGTGGTGTGTCCCTCCCAGTGCTGTTTTGGGCTGACCGTGGCTGTGGTGGTCTGCTCTGGGTCTCTGGGCTAGTTGTTCAGGGCAGCAGAGAACTGCTGTCTCCCTCTGCTCCCCCCCGCTCTTGCCCCCTCATGTCCCAAACCCCACCAAATAAATGTGGTCTCACTGTAACTGTCCTGGTGCTAGAGCGGGGGTATAGCTCAGTGGTAGAGCATTTGACTGCAGATCAAGAGGCCCCCGGTTCAAATCCGGGTGCCCCCTCATTTAGTCGATGACACATGGTTACTGATGGTGGACCATCTCTAACCGGCAGTTAAAGGAGAATGAGGATGTGGCATTTCCAGTGTTTCCGTAGCTGCCACTCCAATTCAGCACTATGGAAGTTCATCGGTTGTTTAATTGGCAAATGACTTTGCCCCCTTCTCCGAGGCCGAGATGTCCTCCCGCAACCTGCGTCAAGATAGACAAAATTGTTTTTGTTTCCTGGTGGTGTGTCCATCCCAGTGCTGTTTTGGGCTGACCGTGGCTGTGGTGGTCTGCTCTGGGTCTCTGGGCTAGTTGTTCAGGGCAGCAGAGAACTGCTGTCTCCCTCCGCTCCCCTCCGCTCTTGCCCCCTCTCCCTTCTCTCTCCTCCCCCTTGCGACTCCTCCTCGCTAAGGAGTGTTTCTGCAGCGGAAGTTGTGGGTCTGGACAGGTTTCCAGGTAGTGTATAGCGATGGTGGTATAGTGGTGAGCATAGCTGCCTTCCAAGCAGTTGACCCTGGGTTCGATTCCCGGCCATCGCATTTGCGCCTTTGACATTAAAACTGAACTTATAGATAAAAAAGTCAACATCCAATTAAAAGTAATCAGCACATGAAGCTTATATAAAATTACGTTACCAAAAACAGTTCTTAAGACAAAAACAAAAAAATGATAGGACAATATGACAAACAAATGAAATGGAAATAATTGTAGGAATACAAATAGTGATATAGGCCCCATAGAGTAACACTGCATGGTCAAAGCTAATGTTGGATTTGTTGCCCTCCCCTGGTCGCAGGGAGACACGTACCTTGCTGCTGTTGCACATTTCTCTAACAGGTATGGCAGTCGGTTTGTCTTCAGTGATTTTAAACTCTTTGTGTGTCTGTGTGATCTGTGGGGAAAAGGTGTTGTCTGATGTCCTGGTCTAGTTTGAGATGTGAGTGTTTCTGATGTCCTGGTCTAGTTTGAGATGTGAGTGTTTCTGATGTCCTGGTCTAGTTTGAGATGTGAGTGTTTCTGATGTCCTGGTATAGTTGGCAGGAAGTCAGAAAATGCAGGTTTCCGCCTGGTTTTGACTGCAGCGGGTGCACAGTCTTTTCCAGGGAGCCAGGGCTCGTTGTTTAGCAATGTAGCCAACATCATGTCCCAAACCCCACCAAATAAATGTGGTCTCACTGTAACTGTCCTGGTGCTACTGCGGGGGTATAGCTCAGTGGTAGAGCATTTGACTGCAGATCAAGAGGCCCCCGGTTCAAATCCGGGTGCCCCCTCATTTAGTCGATGACACGTGGGTACTGACGGTGGACCATCTGTAACCGGCAGTTAAAGGAAATGGTAATATTTGTAGGAATAGCAATGTTCCCTATCAATGGAGGGAACCATTGACTTTCTCAGTTGTGGGTCGTCCACGGAGGTCAGGTGTTGTGCTGCTGTTTGTTTACCCTCCTGTTAAGACAAGATACTATGGTGCTTTTGTAGCCCCAGTAGTCGTGAGGCAGTATTGGAGCGCTGTTCTGACTCTCATATCAGTTCAATTCCAAATAGCTTTATTGACATGGAAATAAACATTCAATTAACTAACAATTAAACAAAAGGGAGCAAATGGTGACATCAGAACAGAGATTAGCAAAGTAGCCAACATCAGGTCCCAAACCCAACCCCAAACCCACGCACTTTTTCTGTTTTTGCAAATACACACACACATAGTGTATTAACGCTGTACATTATATCAGCTGGAGGAGGCCTGCTGCAAAAGAACCAGTGTTTCAGTCAAGTTCTTCAATTTGGACCGTTTGCTGAGTCAGCATATGGTACAACATGCATTGCGATGGTGGTATAGTGGTGAGCATAGCTGCCTTCCAAGCAGTTGACCCGGGTTCGATTCCCGGCCATCGCATCAGCATTTCTGACCTTTTATAACAAAAGGTACAGTTGAAAGAATCTAAACAGGTAAAGCTTATATATAAAATTATGTTACTAAAAAAGTTTTGTTTAGATAAGAGCAAAATAGCAATGGTTATAGAAATAAAATACGTGATATAGGCCCCATAGAGTAACACTGCATGGTCAAAGATAATGCTGGATTTGTTGCCCTCCTCCGGTCGCAGGGAGACACGTACCTTGCTGCTGTTGCACAGGTATGGCAGTCGGTTTGTCTTCAGTTTTTTTAAACTCTTTGTGTGTCTGTGTGATCTGTGGGGAAAAGGTGTTGTCTGATGTCCTGGTCTAGTTTGAGATGTGAGCGTTTCTGATGTACTGGTATAGTTTGAGATGTGAGTGTTTCTGATGTCCTGGTATAGTTGACAGGACGTCAGAAAATGCAGGTTTCCACCTGGTTTTGACTGCAGTGGGTGCACAGTCTTCTCCGGGGAGCAAGGGCTCGTTGTTTCCTATCTATGGAGTCTGGACCTCGTTGAGGACTTCCCCAGCTGTGGTTCGTCCACAGAGGTCAGGTGTTGTGCTGCTGTGTGTTTACCCTCCTGTTAAGACAAGATACTATGGTGCTTTAGTAGCCCCAGTAGTCGAGAGGCAGTATCGGAGTACTGTTCTGACTTTCATTTCAGTTCAATGCCAAATAGCTTTTTTGGCACGGAAATAAACATTGAATTAACTAACAATTCAACAAAAGGGAACAAATGGTGACATCAGAACAGAGATTAGCAATGTAGCTAACATTGTGTCCCAAACCCAACCAAATAAATGTGGTCTCACTGTAACTCTCCTGGTGCTACAGTGGGGGTATAGCTCAGTGGTAGAGCATTTGACTGCAGATCAAGAGGCCCCCGGTTCAAATCCGGGTGCCCCCTCATTTAGTCGATGACACTGATGATGGACCATCTGTAACCGGCAGTTAAAGGAGAATGAGGACGTGGCAGTTCCGGTGTTTCTGTAGCTCCAGTTCAGCACTATGGATGTTCATCAATATCCGAACATTGTATTGGGTCTCTGGGCCAGTTGGTTAGGGCAGCAGAGAACTGCTGTCTGCTTCTCTCCTCGTCTCGCTCCCTCCCATCCCTCCCTCCCGCTTTTGTCCCTTCTCTCTCCTCCCCCTTGCGACTCCATCTCGCTAAGGAGTGTTTCTGCAGGTGAAGTTCTAGGGCTGATTTCACTGGGATGTGAAGCGATGGTGGTATAGTGGTGAGCATAGCTGCCTTCCAAGCAGTTGACCCGGGTTCGATTCCCGGCCATCGCAAACCTGCATTTTCTTTTTAGTTTAGGTGCTGCACACTGCAGTGTTTGTCTTAAACATTCCCAGCTTGTTCACACCAAACATGCACAGCTTTTTGCTTTTTTGCACACACACACACACATAGTGTATTAACGTTGTATATTATATCAGCTGGAGGAGGCCTGCTGCAAAAGAACCAGTGTTTCAGTCAAGTTCTTCTCTTTGGACCGTTTGCTGAGTCAGCATACAACATTCCATGCATTGCGATGGTGGTATAGTGGTGAGCATAGCTGCCTTCCAAGCAGTTGACCCGGGTTCGATTCCCGGCCATCGCATTAGCACTTTTGACCTTTTATAACTAAAGATATAGATGAAAGAATCTCAGCAAGTAAAGCTTATATATAAAATTATGTTACCAAAAACAGTTGTTTAGATAAGACCAAAATAGTAATGATTATAGAAATAAAAAAAGTGATATAGGCCTTATAGAGTAACAATGCATGGTCAAAGATAATGCTGGATTTGTTGCCCTCCTCTGGTCGCAGGGAGACACGTACCTTGCCTGCTGTTGCACATTTCTCTAACAGGTATGGCAGTCGGTTTGTCTTCATTGTTTTTAAACTCTTTGTGTGTCTGTGTGATCTGTGGGGAAAAGGTGTTGTCTGATGTCCTGGTCTAGTTTGAGATGTGAGTGTTTCTGATGTTCTGGGCCCAGTTTCCCGAAAGCGTCGTTAGCCTAAGTGGTTCATTAAGGTCGTCGTACGACCATCAGACAGTTTTCACACCGTTTCCCGAAAGCATCGTTACGTAATGACCGTCATTAAGATGCTCGTAGCTAACGAGAGATCCAGCTTTCCTCGTAGCGCGCTATGAGCGTCGATAACACATCCAATACCACTGAATGTCCAGCTGGTGACGCTAAAGTTACGATAGGCTATATAGCTTAGTCTATGTTATACCATGGTCTGGGTGAATACTCGATTCTGATTGGTTGAAGATTATAGAGCGGAGCTCACCACTGACAAACCCTCAGACTCCTCGGGAGGTGTCATATAATCAGATGCATGCACGCACTCGCTCCACCATCGAACGCACCATCGGCATTTTAAAGGGACGCTGGATGTGTTTGGACACAGCAGGTGGCAAATTGCTGTACAAACCGGAGAAGGTAAGACAACAGATGATTTATTTCATTAGCCTATTATAAGAACCACCTACACTAGGGTCATTTTTATTCAAACACCTTGCATCTTACTTTATGAATCTCCCTCACCATTACAGGTATGTAGGATAATCATGGCCTGCTGTGTCCTGCACAACATCGCTATGAAGCGTGGTGTGCCACTTCCCCCTCAGCCACTACTCCATGAGGATGTGCGTCCTGACGCAATGATGGGACCAGACTGCAGGCGCGCTGTTCATGTTCGAGAGCAGTTTATTGCCCGTTTGTGAGTAAAGTTGCAATATTACAAGTTTAATCAAACAGTCTACTGTAATTCACTTCAAAAATGAGGACAGACCAGTTTCAGTGCACATGTTTATTTTCTTTTGAAATTCTCATTAATTTCTTTAAGTGTTTGTGATATGGTTCCCAGCGTTGAGGCAATCTTCTCCAGCGTCTCCGCTATCCATTCCTGATTGTGTAGTACTGCGTCCGAGATCAGGCGTGGTCGTGGAGAGGCACGGGCCCGAGTTCGTGCGGATGTGCTGCTGCAGGAGTGCTCTGTCCGTTCTGGTTCTGTTGCAAGTTGGCTCTGCGGGACTTCATCTGTGATAAAAAAAAAAAAATTAAATAAATAAATGAATGAATGAAATCAAGCCAAGGTTGCAACCCCTCAGTCCAATAAAGACGTATTTTGAGCTTACATACTATGGTAAACTCCTGCCTTACAGGGCACACATTTTAAATATATATATAAAAAAGGTATTATTCCAGAAAATAAATAAATTACCTTCCGATTCCTCTGGAGTAGCAGCGACACAGGGAGGGGGTGACAGCGTTGCATCGGGGCCCAGGTCTGTGTCCAGAGACTCAGTTGATGGTACTCCTAAAAAGTAAGGTGGGAAAATTTAATCATCAATAAGTTACATTATAGTGATTTTGATTTTTACCTACCTGAGAGTGCCGTCTCCCCGATGATGGCCCCGATGCGCTGGTCCAACTCAGACATGGGTGTCGTGTCTGCTGTCCCCCCTCCAGTCCGTTGCATCTCCCGACGGAATTTTGCTATGTTTCTTTTTGTTTCGCATTTAAGGTCGAACCATTTCTTTTTTACCTCCTCTATTGTGCGTCCCTCTCCCGACACTGCATCCACTGCACGCGTAACTGCCTCCCAGGCCTCCTTTTTGTTTGTGTTAGTGCAGCCTGCA